CCCCCCCCCCCCCCCCCACCCCGGCTCCCCGGGGCTTTCCCCCCCCCCCGAGCCCCGCCGGCCCTCCCCGGGAAGGCCAGGCCGGTGCTCGGAGGCGAGGCAATGCCCGGGCCAGCGGGGCTGGGGGGAGGGGGGAGCCAGCAACGCGCGCGCGCCAAGGCAGGAAAGGGAGGGCGCTGGGAGCGAAATTTACCTACAAGCAACGGCAAGGAGATGCTCCCCTCCCAAATGCGGGTTTTTTTAAGGGTGACTCCTGCAAGTCCCACTGGGTGGATCCTTCTTTTTTTAAAAAAGGGGAAAACGGTCTTTCTATTTGAGCTTTATTTCATAGTTTTAATTTTCTGTATTTTTATTCCTCTTCCCCTGTTCCTGCACGAGCTTTTCTTATAAAAGATGAGGCTTCTTGTGTTTCGTTGATGGGTCGGATAATCCCCCATTTCTTTGCTGGCCGTTTTGTTCCACCAACCCTCCCCAAACATGTTGCTCTCTAGGTGCTTTTGGACCACAACCCCCATCATCCCCAGACGGCAGGGCTAGTACAACCCATCTGAAAGACTGCCGGAAAGGAAGGAAGGAATCGTTTCTGGGGAAATGAGTTTGGGGTTGACCCGCCGTTCAGATTTGTGCGTTTCTGAGGGGAGCGCAGCTCCAAGGACCCCGAAGCCTCTGCAGCTACCACCACAGCGGCCGGCCAACGGCCGGCCCTCCCCGTTCTTTGCCTGCGTCTCTCCCTCGCTCCTTTCCTCTCTTATCTTAACTGCCTGCAAACTGATACAGTACTTGTCAGGAAAGTGACTGGAAATTAAAAGAACCTATTCCCTCTGAGGTGATCAAGGAGATGTCTGTCCTCTCAGCTGGTACAGAAAGTGACCCATCTGTGTCCAGGGTCGGCGGCTTTTCCGAGCGGCGCAATTCCGAATTCCGCCGAGCGCGAGCTTTGGGGGAGAGACGAAATAGAGGCTCGCCAGGTGAGTGAACACCACCTTCCGCCCGCTCTGGCACCCAGTCTGTTTCGAGTAATCAGGAATAAAGGGTTAGAAATAGAAGGGACGTCACATGTAAACTGGACGGTTCCATTTGGTGGGTGCGTGAGTGCCTTTAACTTATTTAAATGGTTAAATTATGAATTTCTGACATTACTGCTTCGCTGAAGAAACGTATTTGAGAATAAGTCGCAAAAAAGTCTAAATAGGCTTAGGGAAGGGCGCATAGGAAGGCGGTCTTTGGGACAAGAAGTGCAGAAAATTCCATTCCAATTGTATTCAGAAAAATAAGTTCCCAAAACCAAAGTCGGCAACATCTTTATTAGTACGAAATCAAATAGACAGAAACAGCGGGCGCATTTTCTTAATTTCTAGCCCAAACCAAACGTCACAAAAATGGAGAAGTAGTGCTTAAAACTTTAGAAAGAGCTGGAATAAACGGCCGGCCTAGGAGGTGGACTCGGATGCCAGAACTGTTTAATATTTTAAAATCAGTTCCTATCCCCCCCCCCCCCCCCCCCCCCCCCCC